TAAAGCACTGTTCCACTCTGACACACGGGGGTTGAGAACTGGACTATACTCAACGGCAACTGGCAATTAGTGTTTACGCTTCGTTATACATTTGTCACATTGTATTATGAGAAAGTCGTTTTCACTCGATGACTCTTAGGAATGGGAACGTGACCAAAGAATTCAAGGTCAAAATGAACTAGTAACAGACAGCTGCAAGGTTTTGATTATAATTGCTGGAAGAGACGCAGTCTTTCTAGTAAGTAGTTCCCAGAGCAGGGTATACCCCCTTAATACACGTGTTTGTATGTGTGTATCTATATCTCGATGCATATGCACATGCGTGTATATATATCTCCACTGAGAAGAAAGGAAATAGAACTATCTTACAAAGTAACCAAGTGCCCTCTATTCATAGTCATAGCACCACATGGCTCTCAGGGTGATGTACTGCGGTGGCTGGCATGTTGCTAGGATGCTGAAAGCTGTGCCACTTTTGTTTACATACCAGCGGGGTCATCTGAGGTTCACCGGTGTCAGTGGAGTTTCTAAATGAAGGCAGAGTAGGAAGAAAGGCCTGTTGATCTACTTCTGAAAATTACCAATAAAAACCTTATAGATCACAATAGAACTTTGTCTGACACAGTGTTGCATGATACGTCCTTGGCTGGAAGGCATGCAGCCTATACAACAGCTGCAACAATCGGTTTGAGTGTGCCAAGGATCACAGAGATGGCACAGAATCGGGCAATTCATTCTGTTGAACACGGGGTTGCCAAGAGCTACAGTGTTTGCAGTGGCATTTAACAACAATAGTTATCACAACATACAGCATAGTTCACACTCACTGCCGTGGAGTTGGATTCCGACTCACAGCGGCCCATAGGGCGGGGGAGCACTGCCCCTGTGGGTTTCTGAGATGGTAGCTCCTTATGAGAGTAAAAAGCCTTGTCTTTCTCCCGTGGAGCAGCTGGTGGTTTCAAACTGCTGACCTTAGAGTTAGCAACCTAATATGTAGCCACCATGCCACAGGACCCCTCCTACAGAAGAGAACTAT